CGCCCTGAGCCCCGGTTGTGCAAACCCGTGCACATATTAGTGCAAATTCATACAAATGTTGGTAAAAACCTGTGCAAATGTAGCTGTAAGGGAATATTCGTGCAAAATGGTGCAATTGTTGGTGTATATGTATTCGTGCAGATGTTGGTGGAAATAAGTATACATGCAAGTGGTGCAAATCCATGTAAGTGTTGGTGCAAATAGATATTCATGCAAATCGTGCAGGTAAATGTGTGTGCAGCTGTTGGTGCAAATAAATATTCATGCAACTGATGCAAATCCATGCATGTGTTGGTGCAAACATATACTCATGCAAATGTTGGTGCAAGTCCACATACATGTTGGTGCAAATAAATATTCATGCAGATGGTGCAAATCCATGCATATGCTGGTGCAAATAAGTATTCAGGCAGATGTTGGTGCAAGTCCTTGCAAATAAGCTTCTGTGCAAAACTTGGTGCAAATAAATGGTGCAAAACCGCGCCAGGGACAGCTCCGAGCACTTCCAAGCTTCCCCTGCAGCTGCATCTCTCTGCTGGGCCAGGCTGGGGACAGGGCCGAGCTGCCACCCATGGAGCTGCAAGGGGAGCAAGTTTTGGAAGCCGCGCCCAGGGCACGGGGCTGGCAGGGCCTCTACCCCTGCCTCTCCCAGGGTCTTCCGCAGTTGCACCCACCCACCCAGAAGAGGACCTGGTTGTGACTGAAAGGAGCTCCCCACCACTAGTTGCAATCAAGACAACTGTAAGACAAAAATGTTTTGAAAAGAATCGCAGGAAATTTCACCAAAAAATCCAAGAAAAAGTTTAAAAAACCCAAATGAAATGACAAGGCCAGGATTGTTTGTTCACAGGAAGAAATATCCCTGAAGATGCCTGGGCAGGGGTTGGACCAGTGAGGAGGGCACAGATGTACATACAGTGCCCGAAGCATGGGGATGGGTGCAGACGCCATCTCCAGTCACTGCCAGGTTCTCCTTCCACGCCCCAGGGCTGAGTTCATCAAACTTTACAGAACGTGACTGTGTTGCTTGGGGAGCTGCTTTTCCCATTAAACAGCTGAGAAGTGATTTACTGCCAACAAGTATATGGGGAAAAGCTGCGTGCCCAGACCTTGTTTGCCCCAGCACGCTGCCTGGATTTAACTAAGGATGTCCTGAACTTGATTCATATCAGGGCAGCTCTGTGGGAACTTGTGTC